GATCTTTGCTTCTGTCTGAGTAGGATAGGAAAAAGTCGATCGGTGTTTGGTCTCCAAGGAGATGGGACCATTCGTTCAACTGGCGTGGCCTCGCCTCGAAGAAACTTCATCTCCCCGTCTGTTAGCAAGTAATGTAGTTTGTAGGGCTCTAGTAGACTTGACAGTGTGGCACGGGAAAGCCCCTGTTGATTCACGGGAAAGCCCCTGTTGATTCACGGGAAAGCCCCGTTGATTCACGGGAAAGCCCCTGTTGATTCACGGGAAAGCCCTGTTGATTCACGGGAAAGCCCCTGTTGATTCACGGGAAAGCCCCTGTTGATTCACGGGAAAGCCCCTGTTGATTCACGGGAAAGCCCTGTTGATTCAGAAAACCCCGCAAATTAATGTTCATATGAGATAAACCTGAGACTTACTCATATAAGTGTTCACAGATTTTCCCACTGCACAAAACACAGTTTCACAATCAATAGGATAAAATACCTGTACCTGTGGGTACCAAACACACCAATCCATACATTATGTTACAGCAAAATACCCATTATACATATTATATGACATTGGAGGATCAGAAGAGAAATGCCACATTATGTTTCAAGTTACAGTATATCAACATGTCACTGGTTTTTCAGTTTAATACAGTGATAAACTGTATTGTTTCAAGCAGACCACCATAGTCCCCGTGCCCAAGAACGCTAAGATAACCTGCCTAAATGACTACCGACCCGTGGCACTGACGTCTGTAGCCATGAAGTGCTTTGAAAGACTGGTCATGGCTCACATCAACAGCATAATCCCAGAAACCCTAGACCCACTCCAATTTGCATACCGCCCCAACAGATCCACAGATGATGCAATCTCTATCGCACTCCACACTGCCCTTTCCCACCTGGACAAGAGGAACACCTACGTGAGAATGCTATTCATTGACTACAGCTCAGCATTCAACACCATAGTGCCCTCAAAGCTCATCACTAAGCTAAGGATCCTGGGAATAAACACCTCCCTCTGCACCTCCCTCTGCAACTGGATCCTGGACTTCCTGACGGGCCGCCCCCAGGTGGTAAGGGTAGGTAACAACACATCTGCCACACTGATCCTCAACACGGGGGCCCCTCAGGGGTGCGTGCTCAGTCCCCTCCTGTACTCTCTGTTCACCCATGACTGCATGGCCAGGCACGACTCCAACACCATCATTAAGTTTGCCGACGACACAACAGTGGTAGGCCTGATCACCGACAACGATGAGACAGCCTATAGGGAGGAGGTCAGTGATCTGGCCGTGTGGTGCCAGGACAACAACCTCTCCCTCAACGTGACCAAGACAAAGGAGATGATTGTGGACTACAGGGAAAAAAAGAGGACTGAGCACGCCCCCATTCTCATCGACGGGGCTGTAGTGGAACAGGTTGAGAGCTTCAAGTTCCTTGGTGTCCACATCACCAACGAACTATCATGGTCCAAACACACCAAGACAGTCGTGAAGAGGGCACGACAAAGCCTATTCCCCCTCAGGAGACTAAAAAGATTTGGCATGGGTCCTCAGATCCTCAAAAAATTCTACAGCTGCACCATCGAGAGCATCCTGACTGGTTGCATCACCGCCTGGTATGGCAACTGCTTGGCCTCTGACCGCAAGGCACTACAGAGGGTAGTGCGTACGGCCCAGTACAATCACTGGGGCAAAGCTCCCTGCCATCCAGGACCTCTATACCAGGCGGTGTCAGAGGAAGGCCCTCAAAATTGTCAAAGACTCCAGTCACCCTAGTCACAGACTGTTCTCTCTGCTACCGCACGGCAAGCGGTACCGGAGTGGCCAAGTCTAGGTCCAAAAGACTTCTCAACAGCTTCTAACCCCCAAGCCATAAGACTCCTGAACAGCTAATCATGGCTACCCGGACTATTTGCACTGCCCCCCCACCCCATCCTTTTTACGCTGCTGCTACTCTGTTAAGTATTTATGCATAGTCACTTTAACTCTACCCACATGTACATATTACCTCAACTACCTCAACTAGCCGGTGCCCCCGCACATTGACTATGCAACGGTACCCCCCTGTATATATAGCCTCCCTACTGTCACTTTATTCTATTGTATATATAGCCTCCCTACTGTCACTTTATTTTTTACTTCTGCTCTTTTTTTCTCAACACTTTTTTGTTGTTGTTTTATTCTTACTTTTTTGTTTAAAATAAATGCACTGTTGGTTAAGGGCTGTAAGTAAGCATTTCACTGTAATGTCTGCACCTGTTGTATTCGGCGCATGTGACCAATAAAATTTGATTTGATTTGATTTGATTTGATAAGAAACTTGTTTAATATGTTCTGGTGCTATTGGCACCATTTTCTCTTTGTTACGAAGAGTGGGAAGAAAAGTATCTTTCTGAAAAAGTCTGACTGGTCATTTCCCCAGTAACCCTGATCACTAGACGGTCTGGTTTCTGTCTGCCCCCCTCAGGGCTGTTCAGAGTCGTAAACGGGTCGTTTATTTGTCTTGTGATAGCTTGAAAGGGGAGGGGGACCTCAATGACAGAACTGTAAATCTTGGCCTGGAATGTGGTTCTCTGGGGATATCTGTTCTCCACCCCCCTTGTGGGCTCTCGTTACAACACTACTTTAGTTAATGACTGTTAGTACTCTGGATTAGATGAGTGTCTGGATTAATCAGTGGTTCCCAAACTATGGGGCGTTTCCCCCAGGGGGGTCACGAGGGGTCGGCAAGGGGCAATTTCGTCATTGCATACCTTAGATAGCTATTTATAACTTGTCAGAAATGTCCAGATCAACTAGCCCATGTCAGCTAACGTTTTTATAGCTAGGTTTTTTAGCCTATAGATTTTGTTTGAGTCACTCAAATATCACATGAATACACATTAGACATGGCAAAATGTATAGAATTGCAAGAAAATTAGCTTTAAAACTGCAAAATCTTCTCTGCACCCCATGACAAAATGTGTAGAACTGCAGGAAATAAGCTTTAAACCGGCAACATATTCTCTCCGCCAACAAGAGGGGTGTTCCTCCATGCTGGAAGGGGGCCTGAGAACCACTGATGTAGAGGTCTGTGATAAAGTAGACGTCTGTGGTAATGTAGAGGTCTGTGGTAATGTAGAGGTCTGTGGTAATGTAGAGGTCTGTGGTAAATTAGAGTTCTGTGGTAATGTAGAGGTATGTGGTAATGTAGAGGTCTGTGGTAAAGTAGACGTCTGTGTTAATGTAGAGGTCTGTGGTAATGTAGAGGTCTGTGGTAATGTAGAGGTCTGTGGTAATGTAGAGGTCTGTGGTAAAGTAGAGGTCTGTGGTAAATAAACCCTGTTCTAAATGTTCAAATGTAAATGTAGAGACAGCCACTAGAGGGGGGTAATGCTCTACTGCAGGTACACAATAACTTACTGTCTTTACATCTCTCTTCTCTATCTTCTCTCTCCGTCTCTCTCTTCTCTCTCCCCCTCTCTTCTCTCTCTCTTCTCTCTCCCCCCCTTTTCTCTCTCCCCTCTCTCCGTCTCTCCCCCTCTCTTCTCTCTCTCTCCGTCTCTCTCCCCTCTCTCTTCTCTCTCCCCTCTCTTCTCTCTCCCCCTCTCTTCTCTCTCCCCCTCTCTTCTCTCTCCTCTTCGCTCTCCTCTCTCTTCTCTCCCTCTCTCTTCTCTCTCCCTCTCCGTCTCTCTCCCTCTCCCTCTCTCTTCTCTCTCCCCCTCTCTTCTCTCTCCCCCTCTTCTTCTCTCCCTCTCTCTTCTCTCCGTCCTCCACCCTTCTCTCTCCCCCTCAAGATCTTCTCTCTCCCTCTCCTTCCTCTTCCCGCTCTCTCTTCTCTTCTCCCCGTTCTCGCTTCTTCGAGTTATGCTGGTCGATTCTTTAGTGTTCTCGTCCCTCTCTCCGCCTTCTCTCTCCCCCTGTCGGTCGTTATCATGCTTACTCGTCCGGTTCCTAAAGCGAGGTCGTCGGCTGGCGGGTTGACGACAGGGTCCCGGGCTCCCCCATTAGTCCAAGGATTTCGTATTGTCTAGCTCGGGGGAAATTGGACGTGGGAAGTTCTTCCTTTCATTCGAATCGGACTCTTGTATGTCTCGTAAGGTGCTCGAGTTTGCACAACAAATCCCCTCTGCTCTTCTCCGTACCGTCAGAAGTGTGCCCCTCTCGTTCTTCTTCTCTCCCTCGTCTGCTGTTCTCTCTCCCTTGCAAGAGAGTTAGTTCTCAATCTTCTTCCTCTCCCCTCCTCTCTTCTCTCTCCCTCTCCTTGCTCTCCACTTCTCTTCTCCGCCGACCCCTCCCCTCAGTCTGCTGTTACTTCTCATTCCATGTTCTCTCATGCCTCCCCTCTCATTCGTCCTCTTCCCTCTCCTCTTCTCGTCTCTCATCTTCCTTCTCAATCTCTGGTAGATCCAGGGTTTTCTCTCCTTCTCGGGTGGTCGTAGAGCTCTCTACAAATCTAGCGTCTACGTCGGTCAAGAGTCTTCTCCTCTTCTCTTCCCTCCCTTCCTGGGTGTCTGCGGTAGAATAAGACGTTACAATCTTCGTCTCTCGCCCCTCTCTCTCTTCGGGAGGATCCCTCGTCTTTCTCTCTCTCTCTCTGACCGCTCTTCTCTCCTGTCTCTCTTCTCTTCGCCTTGGTCTCCCCTTGGCGCTCGATCATAAAACTATTCTCTCTTCCATCGGTGGTCTCTCTCGGGGTCCCATCTCCTGTTCACTCGCACGTTTCTCTGCTCCCTCCTTCGAGGCTTTGTCATCATCTCTCACGCCGGTTCTGTCTCTCGCCTCCTTCTCATATCTTCTGTACCCATGGAATTCTCTCTCCCTCTCTCGTATCATACTCAGTCTCCCCTCTCGGAGTCGGGGGTCGTGCAGATGAATGCTTGGGTGGCCTGATCCAACGTATATGAAGTGTAGGCTCGGGGCTTCAGAGCAGCTCAGGTTTAGGGGTAGAGGAGCGGTGGTTTCCACGTGACCAAGGGGCGGACTCTGTCGCTCTCACTTCTCTTCGCCTGCTTACGTCTCCCCTCTCCAGTCTTCTCGAGAGGGGTGCTCCCGCATCGCTCGGTTCGCCTCAGGGTGGACTGGCACGGAGTTGGGCTTCTAATGCGTAGGGGGGGCTCTCTCGTGAAGTCGCCCGCGTCTCGAGCGGGAGAAACCATTCGGCTGTGCGGGGCAGTCAGGATCCGTTGGCGCGATAGCGCTAACGACGTGTGTAATTGGGTCGCCGGCGGGAAAAGGGCCGGTACGATCGAGTCCGTGATGGAAGTGGACTTCTGAGTGGGGAAGAAGACAATCCCATCGTTGGTGCGGAATCACGTTATGATTGTTCTCTCGGTGAAGTAGTACGGATCGCTCGGTACTTTGAGATGGACTGGTATTGGGGTTCCTTGGTCAGGAGGGGGAGAGGGGTTTGGCTGACGCGTCAGGGGGATTCTGACTCTTACTCCTATATCGGTAAGGTGATCCTCACTGGTTTAGGGGGGCGAAACGAGGAAGGAGAGAGGTGGCTGCTTCCATTGTTGCCATCTAGGATCTGGTTCCTGTCCGGTTCGCATCCGAAATCATGTTGGGCGGTCAACTGTGTAGGTGAGTAGGGGCTGATGCCTCTACTTACCCACGGATAGGATACGTCTTCCTAAGGAAGTCAGTGAAAAGGGCGGCAGCTCACGCCCTGGCAGAGGATAGTGTCTGCCGTTAGGGAATCACACGCAGAGATGCATGGCGTGCCCGGTCCAGATTATATCCCGATTTGTAAGTTGTCGGTAGGTGTGCGATTCCGTCTGCCAGTAGAAAGATAAGTACTGCTGAGGGGGAAGAAATGGCACGTGTCTGGTGGTGGTAGTGACAGCCTCGGGAAGGCATTGCGGCGAGTGAAGAGTGGGCTAGCGTACTCTACGGGATATCTGAGCGTAATGAGATGATGTGGCTTGGGCAGGGTGTGGGGCGGGTTCGATGGGGTGGTGCGGTGACAGGGGGCCCCGTAATGGTTTAGTCCTGGTTCGGATAGCCATCGGAGAACTGCATCGAAGGAGAAAGGTTGAGGCGGTGTGATACGGTGACGGCACGCAAGTGCGGAGGCAGTGAGTCATCGGCTGAACCATAGGATGGCTGTTCTCGGCAGAGGGGGACGATTTGTGAGAGGTTACGAAGAGAGAGGAGGTGAGTGTAATTAGAAGTTGTCCAGAGGGTGTCATTCGCATTGGGTGGAGGTATCGGGGGCTTGGGTGTATGTTGGCGTAAAACGTGCGGGCCTTAACAGGGGAGAGCTGTCGAGTCGTGGGGTTCTGAGTACTCCTGCTAGAGGTTTATCTAAGAGTGCACGCATGGTCGGGAGCTGTGCTGGTCAAGAGTGGCAAATTTAACTCCTCCTCAAAAATCCGGGCATCTTTGCACAGGAATCGAGCCGGGCATGATTCGTATCGTGTAGTCGGGAGACTCGGGGTCCGTAGCTGAGGAGCAGGAGAGCGATTGCGGGAAATTATCACTTGGTAGCTGCGGGTTGTGTCATTTCTCCATCGCGTGAAATGGGGGTGGCATGTTGCGGGTGTGTCGCAGTAGTTCGATTCGATGTGTGTACTGGAGTCGAGTCGGTAAGGCCGGTATTTGCAGTGCTGTCAAACCGGGTGGAGGGCAATGGCGGAACGCTACATGCAAGGGTCTGCTAGTGGGGCTTCCATTAGGCGGTGGAACTAACATTCTCAGCACGAGGGCCTTCCGTGTGCCATCAGCGTGAGTCTTTGACGCGGTAGGAGCTAGTTTCCGTCGGTAAAAAGACTATTCAGGCTGTGGGTGCTTCGTTCAAAAAGGTTCGCACGCGGATCGCGGAGGTGCATTGCCTGGTGGGCTCGTCGGGTCGGGGTATTGTTTGGGATTCCTCTCATGCTTTAGCTGAGGCTAGTCGTTGGTAGTAGGCATGACTTCGCGTCTCTTCGCGGGTCCGACCTAGGTCCGTTGAAGCTCCGCAAATTAGTCGGAGTCGGACTACGTCATGGGATATCTCTCTCGGGGGGTTTGGGAATTTCGGATGCGATAACTTGTCATTTATACATGGCGGCCGGACGGGGAGTTCTTCCTGCCAAAAGTAGTTTGTGGGATTCAGGTGTGATCGCGAATCCAGTAGATTCTATATACAGCTGGGTCTGTTTGCTTCTCCCCGTCTCTGAGTCAATCGCCCTGGATTTGTTGTGGGTTGCGAGGGGTGTACTGTTGCTGAGCTCATCTTTAATTTGTGTTCTCTTGATTCGTATTCGTTCTCGGTGGGGACGGGTTTTGAGTCGTTTCCTTCGATCCTGTATTCGAGGGTTCTCTAAGTATGCGTTTTCCATGGGCTCGAGTGGCCCATGTCTGGGCGGTTATAAGGTCTGGTCAAAAATCGGAGATTCGTACGTCTGGGACAGGGTGCTGTAGTAACGTTGTAATTCAACCGCGGGTCGGTGATAGGCTCCGTAGTATCGATGCAAGGGACGAGCTGGTGAACTATGCTGCGTCGGCGGGTGCTGGAGGCGCGGGGGCTCCGCTCTCGTCTCTCCCCTCCCTCTTTCTCCCCTCTGTGCCCCCCTCTTGCTCAGTGGCGTTGTGTGGGGAAAGTAGATCCCCTGCAAATGGGAGCGGGTCTAAAGGCGAATTCCTAATCTTTGCGGTGGGGGCGGCAACAACTGTCCGGGGGTAGGCAAACGAGATATGCATTATCGGGGGGTCCAGTGTATCTTGGGCTTTCAAATCAAGATACGGGTTTGCGTCATATCCGGCAGTATTTCGTGAGATTCATGTCAAGGGGGGTGGTAGCTCGTCTTTATATGAGGGTTGCTCTATCTACAGTAGCGTCTCTTCTACTCGCTGGTCGCGCCGCATCGGATTCGTTCTGCGTTCGGGGTCCTCCTCTATCTCTTCCTCTCTCCCTCCTCTCTTCTCTGTCTTCAATTTCGTGCTGTCTCTCGTCCCTCCGTCTCGTTCCTTCCTTCCCTACGCTTCTCTCATCTCCAGTCCCGGTTAGGTCGTGCATAATCTTCTCTCCTTCTCGTTCAGGTGGCGCCCATGCTGCTCTCCCACCTCTCGGATCCCTCTCGAGTGGGGGGAGACTCCCGTTATGCATCGCCCGCTCTTCTCTCGCCTCTCCCTCTCTTCTCTCTCTCGCTCTTTCGTCGATGTATTCTCTTCCTGCTTTGCCCCCTCTCTCCTCCCCAGCTAAGGAGTTAGTGTGTAGACTGATGGAGGTGGACCAGATGCTGAGAATCACAGCTGCAGATGCTCTCTTACATGAGTGGTAAGCACACACACACACACACACACACACACACACACACACACACACACACACACACACACGCACACACGCACACACGCACACACACACACACACCCGCGCACGCGCACACACACAACAAACTAACTAATTGAATCTCTGCCGTTCATTTGCTTACGTTTCTGTCTATCAGGATTGCTGGTAACGGGGCCTCAGAGAAGAACCTGAAGGATGGAGTGTGTGCCCAGTTTGAGAAGAACTTTGCTAAGGCCAAGTGGAAAGTAAGAATAGTACTCCCACATGTTTTTACTCAAAAGCTTCAACGTTTATTGGTCATGTGCACAGGATACAGCAAGTGTAAAACAGTAGTCCTACTATATGTCCTCTGTTGATATTTAACCCCTGTGTTCTATATACCACATAAATTCCCATAACTTCATTAACTTGCCTGGATTAAATTGATGTTGACCATCATGATGGTGATAATGATGGTGACGACAACGAGGATTATGATGATGATGGTTATAATTATCATGATGATGATGGTGATCTGTAGTCCTCTGTAGCTCAGCTGGTAGAGCACAGCGCTTGTAACGCCAAGGTAGTGGGTTCGATCCCCGGGACCACCCATACACAAAAAAAAAAAAAAAAAAAATGTATGCACGCATGACTGTAAGTCGCTTTGGATAAAAGCGTCTGCTAAATGGCATATTAGTATTAGTGATGACAAATTATGGTGATGATGATGTGATGACGATGATGAAGATGTTGCTTCCAGAGTAGGCTGGTGGGCGGAGCTACAGTGTTTGATACCGTTCCATTTATTCCATTACAAGCAATGAGCCCGTCCTCCTGTATCTCAGCCCACCAGCCTCCTCTGGTTTTTGTAATGATGATGGTGATGACGTATATCCAGGAGGATAGTGATGCAGTAGCAGCATGATTAACCTCCCTAACCCTCTTCTCTCCCCTGCATGTGGTTCCCAGGAACTGAAGGTACTGTGCTCACTATGAGTCTGGAGAGGGGGAGAGAGGGAGAGAGAGAGAGAGAGAGAGAGAGAAGAGAGAGAGAGAGAGAGAGACCGAGAGAGAGAGAGAGAGAAAGAGAGCGAGAGAGGTGTAGAGGGGGAGAGAGAGGCGAATAGAGAGCGAGAGAAGACGAGAAGAGAGAGAGAGAGACCGAGAGAGAGAGAGAGAGAGAGAGAGAGAGAGAGAGAGAGAGAGAGAGAGAGAGAGAGAGAGACAGAGAGAGAACAGTAAGACTCTCAAATACAGCAATCGTTTTCTCTCTTGTTCACTCGTTTCTCAGTAAGTTAATAACTTATCAGGTTTTTAGTGTAAAAAAATATGTTCTTCTCAATGACATACCTGGCTGAAGAAATAAGAATGCGTTCCAAATGGTACCCTATTCCCTGTGGGCCCTGGTCTAAAGTAGTGCACTATAAAGGGAATAGGGTGTCATAGGGCTCTGGTCTAAAGTAGTGCACTATAAAGGGAACAGGGTACCATTTGGGACACACACTAGGAGTCTCAAAGGAGACTTATTCAGATGTACACCATCAGTGTATTTCTGTTAACTTGAGAGAGAAACAGAGAGGAAACGTGTCTGATTGGTGAGATTAAGTCTCTCTTCCCTAAGCCCCTCCCACTCCGATCCAGCCCACTGTCACTCGGCCAATCCCAGAAGAGTTCCATCCGCTCTTTCCCCCTCCTCTTCTTCGGGTGCATCTCAAGTGTTCTTCCTTTCCTTGCTTCCCTTCCTTTCCTTCATCTGCACTGATCTAGGCCTAGGAAACATGGGTTAAGTGAAAGCAAAATGGCCGAAGAACATGAAGGACATCTGCTTTTCCCTGTCCAACTCTGTTGGGATCAGTGCAGATGAAGTGTTGAGATGCAGTGATTGACTATCCAGCCCGGCCCTGTCTCAGTCTCATTCCTCTCAAGTAGTTCCTGGTTCATTGATTCATTGCTTCAGTCTCGTTGTAGAAATCACACAACCAATCACAGTCTGGCTCTGTATCTGAACTGCAGTGTTCATTACTGATATCAGTTCAGTGCTTCAATGCTAAATATTTGTCATTAGACTGTATCTCCCCATATGTTCTCCCATTAAGACCAAACTGTCCATACCAGAGGTAATACTGTAAAGATGTACAGTACTGGGATGTATTGTCTGATTACATCTTTCTCTCCCCCCCCCCCCCCCCCCCCCCCCCCCCCCCCCGGTCACCCTCCCTCCCCCCTCCCTCCCTCCCTCCCTCCCTCTCTCTTTTACAGAAAGCGATCAGAGTCACCACCTTCATGCAGCGTCTTCGTGCATCTGAGGCTGCTGCAGCCGAGGCGGCTGTGGAGGGAGGGCAGGGGGGAGGGCAGGGGGGAGGGCAGGGGGGAGGGCAGGGGGGAGGAGGAGGTGAGGTCCAGGGTGGAGGAGGAGGAGTGGGGGAGAGTAAGGAAGGAGGGGTGACACCAGGCAGCGGATCTCTAGAGGTGACGGTTGAAACCAGCCCGGAGCGGGAGGAGATGAACGGGGGAGTAGGGGTGAGGAGGGGGGAGGAGGAGGAGAGGGGAGAAGGGGTGAGTGTAGAGAGTGTAGGGAGGAGGCACCCTCTAAGTCCCTCCGTAGGGATCAACAATGTAGGGGCCACCAATGAACCACTCTCTCAGCCTCCCAGCCAATCAAATGCCAGTTCCAAACCTCCAGGGGAGGAGCCAGAGAAGCCAGCCGTGAAGAAGATGGCCACCGCGTTGGGCCAAACCAAAACAACCCCAGAGACCAAAACACTTCCTACCCCCACCGTAACCCCTGACCTCACCAAGCCCCAGGACCCCACCCCCGTCTCCGTCCCTGACCCCGCTGAGAAGAAGCGACCGCCCTCTGTCGCTCCCGAGACTCCAACGACCCAACGACGCAAGATGGCCGCCCAGCTCCACAACACTGGCCCAGGCCCTGCTGCTCCTACAGCTCCTGCTGCTGCCTCAACCCCTCCTACAGCTCCTGCTGCTGCCTCAACCCCTCCTACAGCTCCTGCTGCTGCCTCAACCCCTCCTACAGCTCCTGCTGCTGCCTCTACCCCTCCTACAGCTCCTGCTGCTGCCTCTACCCCTCCTACAGCTCCTGCTGCTGCCTCAACCCCTCCTACAGCTCCTGCTGCTGCCTCAACCCCTCCTACAGCTCCTGCTGCTGCCTCAACCCCTCATACAGCTCCTGCTGCTGCCTCAACCCCTCCTACAGCTCCTGCTGCTGCCACAGCGCCACCCCTTGACAGGAGGCCGGCAGTGCAGGCTCCAGTGGAGGAGAAGAAGCAGGAGATGGATGATAGCAGCTGGTGTCAGACCCAGCTCCCTGAGGCTGTGGCAGAGAGGCCTGCTGGCGTGGAGGTTGGGGTGGGGGTGGGTGTAGGGCCCATGGGGGTAGGAGCTGGGATAGGGCTAAGAGGTGACGCGAGCCCCATCGGTAGAGACCGGAGGGCAGACAGGCACAGTGTAGAGTTCAGCATGTCCAGGGGGGCACCCCAAACCGTCCGAGGGGGGGCTGCAGTTACACCATAGGGTCCCTGGGAAGCTCTCCTGGTCTAGGCCGACACACCACCACATACGGCCAGGAGGTGGAGCTGGGGGGGTACGGGGGTTCCTACTGCTCCTCTCTGTACGGCAGCGGGGGAGGAGGAGGGATGTACGGGGGACTGGAGCACGGAGGTGTTGGGGTCAGAGGTCACGCTAGTAGTAGTGCTGACTGGCAGATGGACAGCGTGATCGAACAGATCGAGAAGCAAATGGCGGCGGTGCTGGAGAAGATCGAGGGGGACATGCCCTCTCTCCTGGAACAGATCAGTGACTGCCCCCCGCCTCCCGAACCCCCCCGCGGCCCCCGCAGCGCACACACCTCCCCCTCCTCACGCTCCCGCTCCTCCCAACACCAACCCTCCTCCACCTCTTCCCCCCCACCCCTCCCCACCTCCCCCAGACCCCCTCTCCCCTCCCTCCCCCACCTCAGCATCCCCCCTCCCTCCTACCCCCCTCCCTCCCCGCCCACCCACTCCCCTGGCCAGCCAATCTGCGAGCAGGAGGAGAGCGAGGGACAAAGGGGAGCGGTCCATTCTAGCCAATCCCCATCCTCCAGGCCAGGGAGGGGCCTATGAGGTGGGTGGGTGAGGGGTTTGGATCTAATGATGTTCCAATATCCACACTAGAACACCTCTTCGATTCTTTCATGTATTCTTAAATACATTGCTTCAAGTAGTATGTCACTGGATATGAGTTCGGTTTTTACATACGAACAAGTGTTTATACTAGACACTACTACTAGATTGAGATTGTTCCAGAGTGCGAATTACGGGAGGCCCCTAAATGTCTCTAATGTAAAACGGCCCATAAGCATCAACATGTGAAGTTCATAGGAGCATGTCAAATTTGGGGTCAAATGAAAGCTAAGAGCCCCCAAAAAAAATATGAAATTAAGGCATATATACATTTTCCATCCTAGAAATTAGGAATAAGCAAAGGCTTTGATTTCTGGTCAAAGAGATGGAAAAGGGGTCTTAGAAAACATCTAGCAGAAAAAGTCTTAAAAGCTATTAGAAATACATCAAATCACAATAATGTTGAAGTAAAGAGCCCTGCCAACGAATATCAACACTTACTGTATATTTAGTTTGAGACATTTTCTGCCTTCTGTAAGTTTATGAAACATTGCCTTGTGCCTTGAAATTCCGTTAACAAAAACCCACATATATAATTAAGATATTTTCTATTTTCTCTCCCTCATGAGGAGAGAGGATAATGATAGTTCACAGACGTAACAAGTAAAGGTAGACCTATCAGTTAGTTATAGTGCTTTTACTGATATACGTTTTGTTTATGAATTATCAAGTGATTCAAACTTGAAATTCCGTTACCAAATCAGTAATGGAATTTCCCCAAACATTGGTAACGGAATTTCTGCAATTGAATTTTCTACAATGGGAAATCATAGTAGTCACAAACCACAGTAGGGTTCACAAGTTTGGACAGCACAGTATAGTATAGTACATTACAGTAGAGTAGAGTAGAGTATAGTAGAGTAGAGTAGAGTAGAGTATAGTATAGTAGAGTAGAGTAGAGTAGAGTAGAGTAGAGTAGAGTATCGTAGCGTCGAGTCGAGTGAGTAGGTAGTCGAGTAGCGTCAGTAGCGTAGCGTAGTAGTCGCGTACACGTCGCGTCAGTAGCTAGAGTAGAGTCAGAGTAGAGTCGGTGCAGTATAGTAGAGTATAGTAGAGTATAATAGAGTAGAGTAGAGTAGAGTACACAGTAGAGCACACTAGAGTTGAGTACACTATATTGAACTGGATTCTACTGTACTGAACTATACCTAACAGTACTGTATTCTACTGTTCTGTACTGAACTATACCTAACAGTAATGTATTCTACTGTGCTGTACTGAACTATACCTAACAGTAATGTATTCTACTGTGCTGTACTTTTTTTTCTTTTTTTTAATGTCCAAACTTGTGAAACATAGACTTCTATGATTGGTTCAGATTTGGTCCGGTCCCATGATGAAATTCCGTTACCGCAATTCCGTTCCCAGGTGTTCCCATTTTAAGAGACAAATCAGAGTCTCAGCAAATAGGACAATGGTTAAATTAGGGCAATTCAATTCCACAGCAAGACGCATCAATTAATTTAGGCTACAAGAGTGTAGATCCAAAGACAATCACCGAATGTCATTCCACTGTTTGGTGTTTTGTAACAGATGTGTCTTTCCGTTCATGGAGTGGCTGGTGCAGTGCTGATGCTGGACAGGATGAGCTCTTGCTCAGGTAGCCTACTTTTTGAAGTCATTTGCTTGACAATAAGATGAAAACATCATGACTGGTTGTGTTCATGCCAAATTAAAAGTTAATACAAAAATATTTTACCGTTTTTCTTAGAAACCCCCCCCCCCCCCCCGAATGTCACAGTATAATTCGCACTCTGGATTGTTCAATTCATTTGAAGAATCAGAAATGAATTGAATTAAAATTAATCTCCTGAATTGATTGGAGTGAAATGGATGACACCTGATGTAACGACTCAACAAGATGATCAGTC